TTAGTTCTTTTTGCAACAACTACGCTGGATTTCTTTTTTCAGACGCAAAACCTTAATCGGCTATGAATTATGCAAATGTTGTGCATCCTCCATTAATTAACCTCTACAGGCAATCTGAGCTTATTCTTGATGTAATTCTTTCAATGGAACTCAATCTTATTCTTGGAATCTTTAACCATATTTTTAAGCAACTCCTTAAAATATGGGATCAAGCACAAGAATGGCCGAATTTTTTGACCTTCAAATGCTTGCATATCATGGGGGACAGTTCGATGGGAATAATTGCAACAAGCTGTTGAAGAATGTTGTCATTCTTTAAAGTCTTTTTCTAAAGCATTGTGCATTGCAAGCAATTCCTTTTGTTGATTGCTTTACTTACTTTTTATTGTTACTATAATTTTTTATTTACATTGTTTAGAGCCGGATTCAGGATTAATTTTGACTAAGGCAAAAATGTTAGTTCGTGAGCTCATTAGTTCGGCAATTTTCATTGAGCTTAAACGCTATTTCGAATTAGAGACTCTGGGAGAGAAAACTTTTTTATATTTTTTAATTTAGTGTTGCGTAATTTATAGAAAATCCGTAAGGGTTGTTTAATAATTACGAAACGCTATATTTAATTATTAGAGACAACAAAAAAGATAAAAAATTTTATTTCGCAGAGTCTTTAATTAAACTAAAAATAAAAATAGTCCTATTTTTAAAAAATCTTATAAAAACTTATTAAAATTAGCACCAAATTTTATATTTCTTCTCCTAAATTGTTGGCAAATAAGCACGTAAAGTTCAAATCATGAAAATTTACTAAATTTAAACCATATTTTAACAGTAGGCAAGTTAAAACATAATAATAGACTAAGGACTGAAGAAATAAGAAAAAATATATATTAAATAAAGGAAAATAAAAAAAACAAATAATAGAAATAATAAACACAGAAAAAAATTAAATGAAAGTTTCTTTGATCACTGAATGAAAGACAAAAAAAAATTTATTTTATTTATAGTTTGACCAAGAAGTGCTACACCAGGCCCCTCTATGCTGACGAAAATAAAAACACAGACGCAACAAACAATGCAGCAAATTTGTTTCTAAAAGGGTCTTTGTTTTGCTGTCTTTGAAAGAATTGATTGATGGAGCATTGCTTGGGAAAGTTTATTCCATAGAACAACAACTCTATTTGAAAAACATTGTCGTTCTTCACAATATATACTAGCTGGCGTTCTAGTGTTTGGTTATGCTCTTTCAAAATATGTTTGGCTTTTCTGTTGGAAAGTTTTTGCAGGACAAAAAAACTGACAAATACGAGTTGATTACGATTGATTTTAAATTACTCGATAAGGACTGCTTAAAAAGCTGTTTGACTCGATTTTCATAGGGCAAGTGTTTAATGGATGATATTGTTTTCGTTACTCAATGTTTGACTTACTCGAGGATGGCAATGTTAGACTTTAAATGCGACTTTTTTCAACAAAAGCTCATAACATAAACAAACAAAAAATTTAAATATATATAAAACTAGTAAAAAGATTTATTACAATATTAAAAAAATTATCCTATCAGAAGTTTGTTTTTAACATGAAAGACTGCCTATATAAACTTTTGAAATCAAATCTAAAAACTTCGTTTTTTATTTTAGTCTAAACTTTTCACCTTACCATATATGATAAGCTAATGTATTACAATTGTTTATTTATTTAGAGTTAAAAAAATCAAAAGTAAAAATCTGATTTCAAAAATAAGTGCATAAAATTTTTAATTAAATAAAAATAATTGATTGTTTGCAAAAATAAGTAGTGCAAGTGTGTGCATGCATTTAAATATTTTATGATTCTTATTGAATTTTGAGAGTTTATGAAAAAAAAACTCTTGTTCTTGAATATGCAAAATATATTTGAACATAAGAGAGACACAGTTTTTTTTAGTTATACTCTTACCATACTGAATAATTGAACTTAGTTTTTATTAATTTCATTTGAATACCCAAACAGAAAACTGATGACGTTTTAGTATCAAACGGTAAACTAGAAGCTGATAGAAGCAGTATAAGTAAAACTATTTTTAAAAGTGATAAATTTCATTTGAGTAGCGTTACATAGTCAAACTTTATTATCTAAACTTGCTAGTTGTAATTACCCAAAATATTTTCAGTTTTTATATATGTAAACCAAGAACGGATATTCAACAAAACAGAAATTCTGTCTTTGCTACACTTGTAACAGGTTCTTGTTTGATGACTTTTAGAACTAACGTAAGACCTAGTTGTTCGTAAAATGATTGCAGCTAAATAGATATAACGTATATAAAATATTCGGGGGTTAGCTATTAGTTGTTTCAAAATATGACAAACTGATTTTTGCTACAGTTGCGACCGATTATTTACCTTTTTTTAACTGCCAGTCACACTTAGATAGATACGCTTGAAAATGTTTGGAATATTCACAAAACTTTATGATCAAGTGAGACAAAACCTATAAAAACATGATTATTTACCAAAGGGAT